TAGCCAGCCCAAAGGGGGGCAGGGAGGAGAAAGGGCCATTGTGAGCACTGGCTCCTCCCCACCACAGTGCGCCCACATGCACGCACCCCTCCCAGCCAGCTCCTCAGAACATGACGTGGAGAATGTCTGAGGCACGGCCAGGTCCACGCAGGGAGAGAGGGCACAGGCCACGAGTCACTCCAGGAGTACTTGGGTTTGCTTCCTTCATGGGCATGAATTTGGTGCTAAAGAAAAGCCAGGCCGGGTGGAGGCAGAGGATATACAAGCTTTTCCCACCAGCTCTGCTGACCTGCAGCCCCTTTGCTACGCAGCTCCTGGGTCCTCACCCAGCTCTGCCAATACTCACCCATCCCGCCTTGCAGCACCCCCTGCTATTCTGACGCTGGGCTGCTGTCTGACAGGGAAGGACTGCTGTGCTAGACTGTGATTACAGGCAGTGACAGGTCTAGCTAGAGACCAAGCTCATGGCACATGTTTCCTGAACCCAAACCCCCAGAGAGGACTGTCCTTGAGGGCCCTGTGCCAACCTCCTAGCTCTCTTCTGCCCCTCCCCATGCCTCTCAGCATGCACGGCCCTCACAGGATAAGGAAGTGCAGCCAGATGCAATCAAATTGCTAAATAGGCTTTTGGTGAGAAGTTCTGCATTTTCCTGCTGGCACAGGAAAGGAGGAGCGTATGCACACACACATAGACAAGCTATGCACAAATGCCCACGACTTACACCCCATACCACAAACTCACACTCTCTATGCCTGAGGTGGTGAATCGGGGATACATTTATCCAGCAGGCACCAAGGTGTTGATCCACAGAGGTATTTAGACTCCTCCTCCTGTCAGGGGTTCTGGGAGCCTGGCACCACTGTTCCCTGTCAGCTGTGCGGTTGTGCAGCCGCACCAGAGGGATTCAAATGCCGCCCCACTGACTGGCAGAGCGCCCGGCTAGGTTTTTTGTTTCTACTGGTGATGCACATTTGCACATGCCTTGGTGCATATCAAATTTTATTCTGCACATAGAAGGAAAAGATTAGAGGGAACATCGCCTGACACCCCTTAGTGCTGCTTCTGATTTGCAGCTCAAGAGCACAGGGGGCTGGCATTAGAACAGACAGCATTAGAGCAGACAGCACTGTATCAAATGGAGCCACGGCCTCATGCTCTCCAGGGTCGCCCCCGAGCGCAGCATTTCTGTTCTCATGTCCCAGCAGCACCCCAAAGTGCTGCAAGTCCTAACTCACCCGGTGGGGGAAGCCTTCACGGCCCTGTGTTGACAGAAGTGCAGTCGTGTGATCAGGCAAGCTTAGGCCTGGATAAAGTCTGGTGCCATGTGTGCATGCAGGCAAGGCCTGGAGCAAGTGGGTGAAAACATGATGCCCTGTGCTTAAGGGAGCTGGGCAGAGCGTGACCGCAATGAACTAGATGAGAACATTCTGAAAGATAAGCAGAAGCACAAGGCGCAACCTGGCAGTCCTAAAACCGTTAGCCACAAAGAGGTCCACAATTTACAGCAGCCGCGCATCGTAAGAAGAAATAGTGATGGGTAAGCTGATCAGTAGTGTAGTTTAAAGAATAAAAACATAACCTAGTTCTAAACAGTGAATGGTGAATCATAGTCATGGGCGACCAAGTCAAGCCTAGGATAAATATAGGTGTAGAAAAGATAATCAATGGGTTGACCAACAGTCCTGCTCGTTGTAACTAGAAGTCAAAGACCCTGCACACTGGTCACAGCCGTGCACGGCGTCCCAAAGCGTAGGAGTCAAAGGGACCACGAATCTCCTGCCTTGTACTGTAAGGTGGCATGCAGATGAAGTGAAAGGGAATGAGGCTTAAATACTGTATTATAATAAATCTTGTATCCATTGCTTTTGCATTGTTTTGTATTGCACTAGTTGCTTTCAAAAGTTATGGTATTGAAGGCTTAAACTGAGTAGTAATTGTTGTCAAGGCTTATAAAACTTAAAGGACTATATTAACTGTTTCAAGGCTTGCAATAAATAAGGAAGTGTTTAAGACTCTCTGGAGTGTGCTGGTTTCCCTCAGATCCAAAATTAATTGAACCACACGACATCTAGGCTATGTCTAGACTGCAGGCTTCTTTCGAAAGAGGCTCTTTCGAAAGCATCTTTCGAAAGAGAGCGTCTAGACTGCACGGAGAAATTTCGAAAAAGCAGCTTGCTTTTTCGAAAGAAAGCATCCAGTGAGTCTGGATGCTCTCTTTTGAAGAAGCCCTATTTACATTGAAGAACGCCTTCTTTCGAAAGAGGAACTTTCGAAAGAAGGCGTTCTTCCTCGTGAAATGAGGTTTACCGCCATCGAAAGAAAAGCCACGTTCTTTCGAATTAATTTCGAAAGAACGCGGCTTGAGTCTGGACGCAGGGGAAGTTTTTTTGAAAAAAGGCTACTTTTTTCGAAAAAACCCCTGAGTCTGGACACTGCCCTAGTTACTGGCATTTGTGCCATAGGCAAAATTGGGGTTACAAAGTTCTGCTTTCCTCATATCCCCCTATAATTTCAATTAGCTGTTGCACTCTTCTTCGCTTCCTGCCCTACAGCGTTCTGCAGTGTAGCTATATGCTGTTAACAGCTGCTGTGTTCCACACCAGAGCTGACTGCATTTCAGTGGTGTGACCGAATCCTAGACTCTGTCCCTTTGGAATGAGCTTGTGCAAAGATAACGAGACCCTCTGATGGTTCCACCCCACCCCTGCTTTCCATACAATGTTGGGGCTACTTTCTTTCATTTTGTGTTTTAAAACTGAAGGCAACACAGACACACAGACAGACAGACTGACCCACTGAGAAAACCACATCATGAACCAACCTTATCATTCATTTCTCCTACTGGAGCTTCCAGTTCTTCCTCCCACAGGGGTTCCTCATAGTCAGAATTGTCTGTGAAGAGATACAAAGGGAGGCTGAGACACATTCATTCAAAGGGGGTTCAGGGAGCAGGCACCCCGAGATCACTGTTCTCCCCCCATGCTTCACGTTACCTGCTCCCACACCCTACCAGCCAGCACCACTGCTCTAGCAAGAGGCAACATTATCCAGAGTCGGACACTGGAACGGGATTCAGGTGGTTTGGGCTCCGCTGCTTTCTCTGCTACCGACGCTCTGCGTGACCCTGCCCATGACACGTCCCCTCTCCATACCTCAATTTCCCCATCTGAAAAATGAGGCTAATTTTATCCAGCACACCAAAACCCTGCCATGAATGACACTAGAGCTGGGAAAAGGCTTTCCGTGAGCAGTTCACGCTACACAACAGCTGTCAGCCAGCACTCTGTGCTTCCCTGTCCGGCTGTGTCTTGCGCGCATCCCCTTACAATTCCCAGAGTGCACAGGGGGCTTTACACATCACAGGATTGCAGAAATGTTGGGCAGGATGGGACCTTGAGAGGTTATTTCCAGCCCCCTGCTAGACCAGTCCTGAGAGGGGTGTATCCAGCCTGGTCTGAAAGCCCCCAATTATTAGGATTCCACAGCCTCCCAACTGCACAGCTTAATTCCTTGCAGAGTTAGAAAGTTTTTCCTGATATCTGACCTAAATCTCCCTGGCTACAAATTACACCCATTACTTCTTGTCCTACCGTCAGTGGACACAGAGAACACCTGACGACTGTTCTCGGGTGGTGTCTCCATTTTCTTTTCTCCAGACTAAACATGCCTGGTTTTTTAAAGCTTTCCTCACTGGTCAGGTGTTCTAAAGCTTTGCTCATTTTTGTTGCTCTCCTTTGGACTCTCTCCAATTTCCCCATCTGTTGGGGTATGTAAGAATTAATAGGGGCCCGGGATAGCTATACACTGGTGGCTAAGGAGTTCAGTCACAGTAGGCATTACTCTTGAACATGTTTTTTCTCTTTGTTTCTACAGTCTGGAAGACAGATTAAGTGTCTGGCCAAAACAGGTATTATCCTTCCTGCTGTATAAACATTCTCTTTCTCTTCGTTTCTGTAGCCTAGAAAAATAGATAAGTATGCAATTGCTCTTCTTCATTGTATCTTTGACTTACCTTCAGTGGTGTTGTATAAGATTTTTTTTTCAGGATTACATCTCTTGTAATCTGTCACCTATTGATTTGGAAAGTTTGTGGTGTAGAAAAGTGTTGATTTAATTAGAAATTCTGAAAATAGTAATTAGGGGCGGGTATAATTGTATTCATTATCTGCTTATTAATATCTATTTCATGGAAGTAAACCAGGCATGTCCAAAGTCCGGCCCGCGGGCCAATTGCAGCCCGTGTTCCGGTTTAATACGGTCCCACGGGTAATTTGGCAATATCTATCTTTTATGGCCCCCAATGAATCCATATGTATTGAGATGAATACATTGTAAAATCTCAGTTAAAGTCAGTTGGTCTAAATCAGTTATAAATATATTTGGACACAACATGTATACTTGGTGTTATGTTCCTGTTCATATTTTTTGAACTTAAAAGTTGACAGACAACCTTTATTACCAATAATATGTAATGTACTTTACAATGTTCCTGACATATATTTCAGCTTCCTGGATTTTTTTTTTCATCTGGCCTTCAGATATGAAAGGCAGAGTGATTTAACACCTGTTTAGATTTGTCATCCATGTGACGAAATGAAAAGTATGCCGTTTGCAATAAACTTTGCATAAAATAGTTAATTTGCATTTAATTTTAATGGTTCAAAGAATGTCAGGCAAAATGGTCGGCCCTCACGCATGTTCACTTCATCAAATCTGGCCCTCTTTGAAAAAAGTTTGGACTCCCCTGAAGTAAACGTTACTAAATAAAGTTTTAGGAAAAGTAGTGATAGACGTGTGAATTAAAAGACGAAAACAGATAAAAGGGTGTAATGGGTGCCAAACCGTTGCCACTCAGACATAGTGTTGAATGTCCGAGGTAAACATGCGTGGGCAATAAAGCAGTTCCGTTTACCCTATCCGCTCCTGGGACACCTGTTTCTTCCGTAACACCATCCTTCCTAAAAGTGTAACATCCAGAACTGGACTCTGTTTCTCCAGCTGGGGCCTGATCATGCTGAGGGGAGCCGGACCACGACTCCCTGTGTCTTATGTACAACAGTGCAGTTAATACACCATTTAAATCCCTCTCCTAAGAACCTGAAATCAGTGGGTGTTTTGTCCGAGGACTGTAGGTCTGGAGCCTAAATGAGACAGAGCACCGTTCAGGAGTGACAGCCAGCTGTGAGGGAAGCAAAGTTATGGAAGGATGAGCCCATGCGAAAGGGTAGTGGTACAAGCTGCTGGCTCCTTTTTCTCTCCAAACACGTTAAGTGTTTGAGTGATTTTGAAGGGAGTTTTTTCTTTGGCAACATGCTGAGGTAGTGTTTGACGGAGGGCCAAAGATAGGGTTGGCGCGGCTGGGAAAAAAAATCACAAGTGACTATTGCTCTTGTGTGCTAGTATTAGTTGTCCAGTGCAATGAATTAAAGGCTCTGCTCAGAAACAGGAGGGAGGTAAGAGCCAGGGGACAAAAACAAAATGAGCTGTTTATTTCACCTTCAGAAAGAACAAGATCTGATGGGGAAATGTGTCTAGGGTGGAAACTAGAGGCATGCAGGTAAGTGTAACAGTCGGTAGGTTTCCAGTATAAGGTGGTAGAAATGTGTCCATCGTGTAACTGTACTGTAGTGTCAAGGAAGTGGATCTCTTGTGTGGCCTGGTCCAGGCTAAGGGTGATGGTGGGGTGGAAGTTGTTGAAATCCCTGTGGAATTCTTCAAGGTTCTCCTTCCCATGGGTCCATGAGATGAAAATGTCATCAATGTAGCATAAGCAAAGGAAAGGTGCTAGCAGGTGAGAGCTGAGGAAACGTTGTTCAAGGTCAGCCATAAAGCTGCTGGCAGATTGTGGGGCCATGTAGGTACCCATGACTGTACCACTGACTTGAAGGTATAAATTGTATCCAGATCGGAAGTAGTTGTGGGTAAGGACAGTCACAGAGCTCTGTAACCAGGTGTGCAGTGTTGGTGTAAAGAGCTACATCCATGGTGGCCAGGATCGTGTTTTCAGGAAGATGACTGATGCTCAGTAGTTTCATCAGGAAGTTGGTGATGTCTCAAAGGCAGCTAGTAGCATAGGGTCTGAGGAGAGGGTCAATATAACCAGATAATCCTGCGGTGAGTGTGCCAATGCTTGAGATGATGGATCGTCCAGGATTTCCAGGTTTGTGGATCTTGGGTAACAGATAGAAAACTCCTAGTCGGGGATTGGGGCGTGTTTGTGTAGATTTGGTCCTGAGTTGTAGCAGGAAGTTTCATAAGCAGATGGTTTCGATTTTTTTTTTTAAATAAGATTCTTTAGTGGGATAAGAGGAGAGAAGCCTGTAGAATTTGGTGTTGGCGAGTTGTCTGGCAGCCTCCTGTTCATAATCTGTCCTGTTCATGATGACTACAGCACCAGGATCTATATAGAGCAGGGGTGGCCAACTAGTTAGAGACTAAGAGCCAAAATAGCTGTGGATAGAGTGCAAAGAGCCACATAATATATATTTATTTCTATATATCTATGTATCTATATATAGATATATAATGAACAAAATATAGTGATAAAAATAACAACATTACAGGACATTTCAGACAAGAGCCTTTCCTCAGCTATGTTAAGTGCTGGGTTGACAAAAGTTATTTCAAATTTTTGTTCCAGAAGATGCTTAAAATATAACATTCATTCCAAAGGGTTCCAAAGTCCCACGGCTGGGTGGAATTGAGAGAACGACAAAATAAATTTGTTGAGATCTTCGTGAGAGCAAGTTGCAACTCCAAAAATGTCCTCAACATACCTCAGGAAAAGACTGAGTTTGTCGCCAGAAAACTGTTGAAAAGACCTCTTCTCTACAAATCCCACAGATAGACAGGCATAAGAAGGTCCCATTTTAGTGCCCATACTAACACCTCTTACTTGAGAGTAGAAATTTGAATTAAAAGGAAAGCAATTTAATGCAAGCACAAGCGCAGCCAGTCTTAAAATAATGTCAGTAGATGGGTTCTTAGATCAGTGAGGAAAGATAAACCACAATGTTATTTCTTAGCTTGCATGTTACAGTTTTTGACTCTGCAGGACTTTTGGCAATCCTTGTTTTCAACAATCCTCTTCAAAATCAGGCTTGGATTCGGCTGAGGCCACTCGAAGTAATTCCCTCACGGGAGTGTCAGTTATAATAGATCAATGCTTCGATTTCACTTGCTACAATGTAGAAAAAACTGACTCACAAAGGTACATTGATCCAAACATTGACAGTAGTCTGAGTGCAGTCCGTTTACTATAGGGGTATTTTTCCATCAGTACAGTTTTCCAGAACTCAAGTGTGCTTTCCTTTAGAAAAGACTTCAATCTATCATCCTCGGACAATTCAATTATCTCAATCTGTGAAGTTGCTTCATCTGTGACTAATGGGGCTTTCCAACGATCAGCCTCTGCAGTGAAAGGGTCGATCAGAAATGTAATCTGTGGCCTTTTCAATTGTAGATTATAGAATCTTTCCATGAAACTATCATGAAGTTTTTCGGCCAAGGTTGCATACTGTGCTGTGCTTTTTTTCAAGGCTTCCGCTGCTTGTTGACCCGCATTTCACAACAAAGGAAAATGTGTTAATTCCCGCCTTTGAAGTTGTGCTTTGAACAGCCTGAGGTTGTTGACAAATGCAAATACACTTAGCACCAGGTCGGGCAGCACCTTTAATTTCCCTTGTAGGTCCAGGTTGAGTCTGTCCAGATGATGCAGCGTGTCCATCAGAAATGCCAAATCTAAAACTCCAACAAGGGTCTGACAGCTCAGGATATTCCTTATGTCTCTTCCATGAACAGTTTCACAGTGTCTTCAAGTTCAAAAAAATGAAACAGCACTTTGCCTTTCAAAAGCCACCTTACAGTACAGTGCAGGGGCAGGTCTTCTGGAA